TATTGATTCTCTTAACGGTGGCAACTCCTACCTGGTGTGAGAGCAGGGAAACTACATCTCCAAAAGCTAGTGATGGGACACCATTTCCATGGAGTAAGATGCGACTTCCTGAGCACATCATTCCTGTTCATTACGACCTCATGATCCATGCAAATCTCACCACTCTGACTTTTGGGGCACCACTCAAGTGGAAATCACAGCCAGCCAGCCCACCAGTGCCATCATCCTGCACAGTAACCGCCTGCAGATATCAAAAGCCACCCTCAGGAGAGGCACCGGAGAGGGGCAGCCTGAAACACCACTGAGAGTCCTGGAGTACCCGCCTCACGAGCAAATTGCACTTCTGGCTCCCGAACCTCTGGTTGCTGGGCTCCCTTACACCGTGACCATCGACTATGCTGGCAACCTCTCTGAGAGTTTCCATGGATTTTATAAAAGCACCTACAGAACCAAAGAGGGGGAAGTGAGGTAATTTTTTCTATTTTTTTAAGCTTCAAGTGCTGCCCACATTAAGTTGATTGTTTCTGTGGATTATCTTCTAAAATTCCCTTGCTTTCTTATTTCTTTGTTTTGTTTTTGCACCTTCTTTGTAGAATAAAAAATGGCTAATTTCCCCCTTTTGTTTTGATCTTTGTCATTCTTTTTAGCCAAATTTCTTTCCTCTAGCTCTAGTAGAATAACTACCTATTTGCTTATTTAATTAGAGTATGGGCTATAATGTTATAATTCTCTTTGTTTTCTAGGGCTACTGTAACAAAGTACAGCCCTCAGTGTTGTCCATAGATTCTTGGAAACTGCATCTTTAAGCAAAGTGACATATAATTAAGTCAGATAAAATCCTTTCATTCGACCTTCGCTGGCATTGTAGTATTCTCATCAGCATGACAGCAAAATGACATTGTTAAAGGACCTGCTTTCCATAAACTGGGTGGCTTAAAACAACAGAAATTTACTCTATCACAGTTTTAGAGTTGATTGTTAGAAATCTAAAATCAGGGTGCTCGTAGACTATGCTTTCTATGAGTCTCGGGGTGGAATCCTTGCCTCTTAGCCAGTGGTGGCCATTGCTCCTTGGCTACATTAGTTCGGTCTCTGCCTCTCTTGGCACCTGCCTATTCTCCAAATATCCCTCTTTGTATGAGGACACCATTCACTTTGGACCTGGACCCATCGTGATGGCTTTGTCTTAACTTGGTTATGTCTGCAAAAACCTCATTTTCAACATTCGTAGAGACCAGGGATTGAGACCAGCATACCTTCTTTCAGGACAAAGTGCAATCATCATAGCTTAGTAGTAGAAGTACTTTTCTCTCCGTTAAAACTTTTATGGGATCCTCACTTGCCTTGCTTAGTTCTGTTTCTAAGGGGTATAGGGTAAAGGAAGATTGTTCAGGCTTTTTTGATGTTGGCCTCTGTGGCTATCACCTGTGGCCTTGAATGCAGGAGGCATTTGTGAGCGTGGGCTCGGCGTACGCATGCCTGATAGTGGGCACCTGGAGTATGGCGTGGATTATGTAAGTGGGCACACCTGAGCTTAGAGACTGAGCACATAAGGGCGTCGTCAGAGGACTGAGTGCGGCAGAGGCCCATGCGGTGGAGTGCTTTGGAGCATGGCTGCGAGAGGAAAGAGTGTATAGAGATTCTTAGGGGGCCCAAGTGGCTATATCCCTGCTGGCTTGTTTCCCCTCCGTTCTATTAGAAAACCTGTGGGGATGGTGCCAAGGGCTCCAAGAGTCTCTTTTAAGCTGCCTGAACCAACAATGAAGCTACCCGGCCTGGGCTGGTTGGTTGCAGGACAAGGGGTAATTTATTGGGGAGATTTTATACTAAATTTTAAAAATCAAATTTCATTTGTTAGTAGATTATAACTAAGTTGTTTTCCTGATTTCATATCACTTTTGAGGTTAAAAAGTCAGATTTTACCCCTAAGAGTTTTTAAAAAGTAAAATTTATCCTACTCATAGTCCCTAGATATAGCTACCTTTTTAGGGTAACATCCTTCCAGACTGCTCTAGAAGTCTAGAATAATGCATGCACTTTATTTTATATAAATGGAATTATATTTTCTGCTTTACTAGACAGTTTTTTTTATATGCTAAAGAGATGTTTTATATGGATGGCTATCACTATACATCATTTTAATGACTATTAAAATATATGTGCATGGAATTTTTAAACTAATTCCCCATGGATGGAGGTTAGGTTGTTCCTAATTTTCCAACATCAGCAATACTTTGACCAACATCTTTGTATATGAGTAAGTGCCTAGAAGTAAACTTGCTAAGTCAAAGGATCTACAAACATTTGTTATTCCCTGTCGTATTGCTTCACCTCTAACCAATGCTGTGTATTGGCAATCATTTTAGAGTCCTGAAGTCAACAATTATCACCCTTCCACTGACACTCCATTGACTGAAGAAGTTGAGCAGCTTTTGATATATTTGTTGAGTACTTGTAGGTTCTTTTGTGAGTTGCCTGTTTAAGGCATGTACCTGCTGTTCCACATGGTGGTTACTCATTAAAGCTATTAACCCTTTGTAAAATACTTTGCATTCCATGTTCCCATTTTTTTTACTTGTTTTTAAATTTTAGTTTATGATAACTTGTCACATATCTTTTATCACTAAAATCCAACTATCTTATGGTAATGTTAGGAATTAAAAATCACCCCTGTTATAGAGTCCATGGAGTTTCATGCTGTGTTTTTATTTCACGTGCAACATTTTAGGATACTTGCATCAACGCAGTTTGAACCTACTTCAGCCAGAATGGCCTTTCCGTGCTTTGATGAACCTGCCTTCAAAGCAAGTTTTTCAATCAAGATCAGAAGGGAGCCAAGACACCTAGCTATCTCCAATATGCCATTGGTGAGTCCACACTCTTATGGATCTGCTCACAGGAAAAATCCATTGATTGTTGTGACATGTCTTACTCAGTGACAGTTAACATTTGGGTCACCTATTTTGTTTGTTTTATTGCCTGACAGATAACTAACTTTTCTTTTACAAACCTTTTGTTTTAAACAATTTTGTTTTTTTTGTAGTCACAAAAAAAAAAGTTTCTTAAAAACATGCAAGATTTAAGAATGACATTTCAGGTCATCAATGCTAATAGGAGAGGTACTGTGGAAGGAATTGAGGTCAGGTGTGGATGAGCGTGCCCCTCATAAAGCATTTGCACCTTTGTTTTTCCTATAATCTTTTAAAAGGAGTTCAAAGAAATTGCTTCATTGAATAAGGTCATGTTTCTAGTATATAGTTGGTTTCTATAGTCACCGGTGCCTGCTCTTCCCTTTGGGTGCTGGATAGGTTAGTATGCAGTTTTAAAAACTCTATCTGTTATGCTTAGTGACTCTGTGTTAAATACCTTTAAATTCAAAACCTGGATTTCTATATACTGTGTCCTACTACTAAGGATATAGTTTACAACTATATGCCGGAAAGTGAGCACACAGATAAAGAAAAAATGTAATCTTTCTGATTATAATACAGAGTAAGAATAGATGGCTCTGATTCCTTTAAAGAAACCCTTGAACTCTAATTCCAAGCAGATGTGGACAGTGTTCCTTCTCCTTTTTAAAAGTGACGAGACCGTGCCAATACCAGTTATCTTAAGCTGAGCTACACTCTGCAAATGTTGCATATACCCCCTGGAAGCATTCCAGCCCTGGGTTCAGACTCGGTGTAGAATAAGGTTTGCCCAGAGTCCTGAAGGGCACCTGCCTCTTCCCTGTTCTGACCAGGGAATTATTATCCAAGCAGGAAGGGACTCTGAGGGCCACACACCAACCTCTAGTGTGTTCTCAACCTTTTCAACCTTTAGCTCTACTTTCCCTCACCCAAATTACTATAAGGATCCCTTCTGCAAACAAGATTCTGACAGGACCTCCAGTGAAAAACACTCTTATGCAAATCCCTACCAGTTTTGTTGCACCCTCTAGCCAGCCACCCCCTCTGTCTGTGAAAAGATGAACAATTATGCCATTCTCCAATATAAGTTTGAGATAGACAACATGCTTTTTCCAGTGATAGTTCCCTCCTTGAATATGATATTGCTCTCTGGGACAGGAGTGAGTCTCTCATCAGAGGATTACAGCTTTAGAAGAATAATGGAACACAGATGGATGGAAACTAATAAGACTGGAGGAATCTGTAGACTGGCAAGGGGTGGGGGTGAAAGCCAGGAGTCCCTGAGGCATCCCTAAGGTGCTGAAGTCTAAATCCATGGATATCAGGACCTATTTGGTAGGAAAATCTAATGTAATCTTGCCTCCTAGACGGAAAGCCCAGAAATCTAATAGGAGTGACCAGAGCTGCAGACATGGGGTTGAAGAAATAGACAGTGGGTTTGAAAGGATCTTTTGGGGGATAGAAAAGCAAATAAAGCTATGGAACATTTAAGTCTACAGGCAGTGAACAGGAGTTAATCACATTTAAATTAAATTAACCCAGTTTCCTAATAATTAGCATAACTTCAGGAACGAAATTTGGATTAGGTGTGGGTGGAATGCATTTAAAAACAAAAGGTAATTTGGGGTTCTTCTAGAGTAAACCTGTTTGCTCTCAGAGTCAGGGTTAGAATGACTAATGACCAGCAGGCACCATTGCTGGTGGTGCATGGGTATTAACAAGGATGTGGGCACAGGAGAGAGGTGGAAATATGAATGCATGCTTACCTCCAGACCATTACCTCACTGATTGCATTTCAAAGCTGATTGCAGTGATGCATTCAGAAGAGGCTTTGTGGGCTCCGGCCCAGGAACAGGCCACTTTCAATTGTATAAGAAATAGAAGTTCATTTTGGGTTGTACATGTGTTACAGGGAAAAGATGTCCTAAAGCTAATTCCATACAGGCTTTGTAGACTCCACCCACCACTCCAGACCAAAGCCAAAAGACACTGGGAACTCCAAATCCCATCACCACCAAAGGGAAGGTGGCTGGGACCTGAGGGTGGGGTTAAGCAGCCAGGTTTGGTATAAAGCCAGACACGTGGGCTTTGGAGGGGATCCCCCATTTTGGCTCTAAGCCAGCTCGCAGCATTCTGCCAGCTCGCAGCATTCTGCCAGCTCGGAGAGTGCCTTTGGGTTTCCAGGTCGGCTGATCGGGTAGGACGCATTAAAGACTTTATTTCCCTATTTTCTCCCTGAGTTGTACATTTCCTTAATTCCCTTTCCCTTGTAAATAAACCTTTTATTAACCTTTTTGTGTGTGCCTGTAGTGGAGATTAATAAGTCCCTTTTAAGCATGTGGGTGAGACCCACAGCCAGGCAACCCGTTTTTATATCGGGGTTGCCCTATAACACATGGTCACATTGTTTTCCTAGTGTAGAATTAAAAAAAAAAAATAGAAATTGCATTGCCACAATTCTTATACCTGTATTTAAAGATAAGTGGACTCTATCTTGGCAAAGGCAGTAACTTTAGTTTTGCCTCTCCTGTCTCAGGAACCTGCCTCAGGTTGCAAACATGACTCAGTTTGTGATCATATGGATTATTTAAAAGTGAAGCGGTGATGGTCACACAACTGTGAACATAAATAAAAAAATATATAAAGAAAAAAAAGTTGAATTGTGTACTTTAAATGGTGAATTTTATCGTATGGAATTAAAAAATTGCTTAGAATCGTTTGGCCTTAATGTCTAAATGACAATCAGATGTTAGAGAAAATGTTAAATAATTATACCAATGGCATGCCATATACTTTCAATATTATGTCTTGTAGTTAGGAAATTTCTGTTTTTAACATGTGTTCAATGTATTGGGTTATTTGATGACTTAAATTATTCTGATTTTAGGTTAAATCCGTGACAGTTGCTGAAGGACTCATAGAAGACCATTTTGATGTCACCGTGAAGATGAGCACCTACCTGGTGGCCTTCATTGTTTCAGATTTCAAGTCTGTCAGCAAGATGACCAAGAGAGGAGTCAAGGTGAACCTGTGATTGTCACACGGGGTGACCAGCTTGTCCTGGCCTGCCCGGGACTGTACTGGTTTTAAAACCGGAAGTCCCACGTCTTGGAACCCGCCCCCCTCAGTTGGGCAAATGGTTGCTCAATCTCTTGTGACAGATGCTCATATGTGCAGTGAGTTCTAGCAACAAAATCATGCGGAAGGCCTGGCCTGGGCCATTGCCCTGGCTGCACCACTAACTGGCTTTCTGACCTCAGTTGGCCCTGTTCCCTTTGGAATTTTTTTTTTTTAAAGATTTATTTATTTATGCATACAAGAACTGGGGTACTGGCCAGAGGTGTGTATATGGGGGTGGATGAGAGGATTCACCAGAGGCAGAGTAGGAAACAGAACAGGCAGCTGAAATACACTGCTGAGTGGAGCAGCGGGTGAGGCAAGAGAGGTCTGCTACGCCATGTGGGTCACCTCCCTGGCTGGGGATTGAACTCATGCTCCAGAGGCTGCGGATAGCTTCATACTTTGCATCTTAACCCCTTGCGCCACCAGGGAGGCCCTTTGCGGTATTTTTGATACTTCTTTAAAATGTCAGAGTTGGACTAGATCTGGTTTCTTGGGTTCTTTCTGGCTTTAACTATCTGCAATTTGGAAGTGAACGTTACTTAACCTGAGCACGTGATTTCTGGCCTTGGGAAGGGAGTAAGATTGGTGTAGTCTGCAGATTAGATGGGCCTGGGCTGAGCATCTGAGCCAGGAAATACTGGAAGACTTCAGAAAAGGTCTTTTCTAGGAGCTCTTGCCCCTTGTCTCGCTGCCATGGTGTAGGGGGCCTGTGGAACTGCTGTGTGGTTCTGAATACCAATACCTGTTTTGGAAAGGAGAGCGTGCACTTTATTTGAAGATAACTTATTTATTTGTGTTGGTTTTCACAGGGGCCTGAAGTTAGGACTTCTCTGCTGAATTGGCTCTTTTTCTATAGTACTAAGTGTCTTATTCTTGTGAAGATATCTCTAATTATTTGGTACTTAAAGGTCATACCTGAGATTTGGTAGGGAGCATACTAATTTCAGCAATGAAGCTCTATCGGCAGAAACACTCAATTTTTTATATCCTTTATAAATGATTCTTTTTATGTCTCTTCCTGTGATACTGAGATTTATAAATAAAGGAGATATTGGGTTCTCAGAAAAGTCATGACTTTTTCCTGTTTTTTGAAGCAAAAATGCATCATCACTTTTCCAACAGGCCAATATATTTGGTCTTCATCCTGATTCTGGGACAGAGAACTCGTAAAACCCTAGGACTTTATTTTAATTTTATTAAATTTATCTTCTTACATCATTGCTCATTTTTGTACGATATTTGATTTCTCCTGTCAGTTGTCATCCCCAGTTCTCCCTCCACTACAGCACCTGTGTCCTCCCCAATTTCACCACCCCCCTTCTCTGCTTGTGTCTTGCAAATAAAACCCTAGGCATTTTCTAAGTGCAGAGAACCTTAAAGGTGTCTCTTGTTATGTTAATGAGGTGACTTTGGTAGTCTGGAGAGGGGACTGATTGCCAGGGAACCAAGCAGGTGATTGGAGAATTGCACCTTTCAGTGCCTCACTGACCTCCAGCTGGAGTTGAGTTCAATCACCAGATGCTAATGATTTTATCAACCCGATGATTTTATCAACCCCGTCTGTGTAATGTAGACACCATAAAAACCCCAAAGGGCAGGTGGGTTTGGAGAGTTTGCAAGTTGGAGGTGCTGGAAGAGTAGCCATCTGGAGGGGGAGAGTGTGGATGTCCCCAGCTTGGCCCCATATCTTGCCCCATGCATCTCTTCCATCTGGCAGCTCCCAAGTTAAATCCTTTTATAATGAATTGGTAATCTGGTAAGTAAAATGAGTTCTGTATGCTAGGCTAACATTCATTTGATGAAGGATGGGGTTGTTGGCATCTCAGTCAGAAACCTAGGATAAACTGGACTTGAGGTTTGCCTCTGAAAAGGGAGTGTGAGTAGCCTTGTAGGACTGAAATACAATCTGTATTATCTAGAAGGGCAGTTAGTGTCAGAATTAAATTGACTTGAAGGACACTCATCTGATGTCAGAATTACTTGGTGGTTGGGGAAACCCCCTCTCTCCCCACATCCACATTGATTTTGTGTGCCAGACATACAGGTATCTTTAGTCCCCTATTTCTTCAAAAACTTTAAGCATACGTATAATATGTTCTGTGTCTAGTAATTGTCATATCAGAATCCTTGTATATCTGGTTCTGAGGTTATTGCTTCTGCCGGCTCTTGCTCACGGTATCTTATTCCTTTGTGCGTATTGTGGTTTATGTCTTTGAATTTCTGTCACCTAAATTGAAGGTGGATTGTTACAGAGATAATTCGTTTGCTCCTGTCAGGTGGCTGGAAGCAGTTACCAGTCCATGTTAAGCTACTGGCTTATTTATCCTAAGTCCAGCAGCTAAACATGGTAAAGGTTAGGCTACAGCTACAATTTCCCCTAGTAAACCCCCTTCTTCTGTGAAGAGTACCAAGGTCTGAATAAGACATTTCCCCCTTGCATTCCTTGAAGAAGGGGGTGGCTGTTTCTCATTTTCCCTGACCATAAAGGCATGATCTTTTAGAGTTCAATTTTATGCAGGGGCTATCTCCTGGTGGACAGACCCCATGGTCAGGCTCTGGATTTTTGTCTCCTAGCCTCTGAATATCAAAGCTCAAGCCTGTCTGTGCTGTGATAGTGTTTCAGGACAAAAGCTTACTGCAGTGCTTGTCTGATTTCTCAAGGTCTCACTCTCTCTTCCGTTTTGGCCTCTAAGTCACCTTACTTTTTCACTATTTCATGTGAACATTTAAAGACATTTTTATATATGTTGTATTTGTAGTTGTGGTCAGAAGGTGAATTGATCATGAAGAATGAATACAGAATTAAGGAAAGAACAAGAACATCCAGTTGTCTTGAATTTTGGCAACCATATCCCATAATATGAAGTTGCTAATGGTATAATGTTAGTCTTCCATCTAGTTGTGGAGTGAAGCTTTGATAGCATTGGAGTAACATTCTTGTATCTTTCCCTTCAGGTTTCCATTTATGCTGTGCCAGAAAAGATAAATCAGGCAGATTATGCACTGGATGCTGCAGTGACTCTTCTTGAATTTATGAGGATTATTTCAGCATTCCATATCCATTACCCAAACAAGGTAGAGATTTCTACAGCTATTCCAAACTATAGCCCTTAATGGCCCCAGCCATAGACTATATCCTCCTAATTGGCATCCCCATGGTTGTCCCAGCAGCGCCTCAAAGTTATTAAAAACCTGGGTAGTTGTGAGCCAAGGGGCTGATCTTTCTGACCCCTGTGTATACAGTGATCCTCTAATGATAATAAAAGTGGATCTGGGTACAGTTTCCTGGGGCATTTGGCATGGGGATAATTCTGATTTAAAAGGCAAACCTAACTGTACTAGTGGGTAGTCAGCAAAGGGCATAGGCAGGCTGCATTTTTCATTATTGACACATACTGGGTAGGAACATTTAAGGCACACAATGTATGTTTGAATGAATAAATTTACATAACATTAGAAGAATCTGCATTTTCTTTATCACATGAGTTTTTAAAATGACTGTTGTCAGTTAAATAGGAGTTTGGGGTATCGGAAGTAGTGGATTTTTGAGCCATTTGTTAACATTCCGTCCCCAGACTCATTGTCAGAACCTTAGAAATGGGAGTCAGGAAGCCTGAATACCAAGTTGATTATCACACAGCACCCAAGTGAGCAACTTTTTCTCTATTGTGAAAGGTTGTCTAGAGTTTGATTCTGTACGGGAAGCTAAGCTTTTCTTTTGATACTTACACCTGCTCATTCTGAAAGTGTGTTTGGATGAGGTGTTATTTAGAGATTGGTAATGTTTTTACTGCTTTCTTCCAAAGATCTTGCTGCTATTCCTGACTTCCAGGCTGGTGCTATGGAAAACTGGGGACTGACAACATATCGGGAATCTGCTTTATTGTTTGATGCTGAAAAGTCTTCTGCCTCCAGTAAGCTTGGCATCACCATGACGGTATCCCATGAACTTGCTCACCAGGTAGACAGTCCCAAATGTGTGTCTTTAAAAATATCATGTGACTAGGTCTGTGTTGCTTTTATGGGACATATGTGGCTACTCTTAAATTGTGTGAATTGTATTGATTCATTTGTTTTGTCTTTTTCCCGTAAGAAAAATTATTGAACCATATTTTATAACTTACGTCAGGTTTTCTTTAACATTCATATGCTGACATTGTACATATAATTTGTATTTCTTAGTGCCTTATGTTTATGGCTATATATTCTGTTATTCAAGGAAAATGTGAATAATTTGAGAAATACTTTTCTTCCAGTGGTTTGGGAACCTGGTCACTATGGAATGGTGGAATGATCTTTGGCTAAATGAGGGTTTTGCCAAGTTTATGGAATATGTGTCTCTACTCGTGACTCATCCAGAACTGAAAGTTGTAAGACATGTTTATTTGCCTTTACACTTGAGATAATTTGTTCTGTTTAGTGTCACTGGGAAACATTTACTAAACTTTGATTTTATAAATCTTAGGTTAATAATTTCCTTGTCTCTCCTGCCTCCCTGTGACTATGCAGGTGTTTCTTTTCACCTTTGCAGGCTCTTCCCTTTGCAAAGAAGCAGCAGCTGCCCTTTCTCCCTGATTGTGTCTCTGTTAGCATCTACTTCTTTCCCTTTCCTAGTAATCCGATCTTTTTAAAATAGGGGGAAAAATCCTTGTAACTTTAGATATAAATCATGTTTTTAAAATGCAAGTGAAATCCAAACATATATCACAAAGACATTTCCAGATTGGATTGTGAAACTGTGTCCCTTAATAACAAAAAGTAATGACAACATTTTCTTCATTTCCCAGCTCACTGAAGATAGGTACAGATTGCTATTTTTTTTTTTTTTTAAAAGATTTATTTAGGCATACAGGAACTGGGGTGCAGGCCAAAGGTGGGGGGGGGGTGAGAGGATTTACGAGAGACAGAGTAGGGAATAGAACAGGCAGACTGACTGAAATACACTGCTGAGGGGAGCAGCAGGCCAGTCAGGAGAGGTCTGCTGCGCCATGTGGGTTAGCTCCCTGGCCGGGGATCAAACTCCTGTCACAGTGGCTGACGATAGCTTGATAGCACTGTGTCTTTAATCCCTGTGCCACCAGGGAGGCCCACAGATTGCTATTATTTTAAGAGGACCCTTGCTGTTAAATCAAATGAATTATGCTTAGGTAACTGCACATTTGATTGTGTATGAAGCTAAACTCAAATGGGCCACAAATTTAATGTTTGAGAACCTGTTTTATTTTCATGTATTTAATTTGTGAAAATCACATATAGTAAAATTAAAAAAAACAGTACCTTATGTATACAATCCTTTGCCCTACTATAATAACTTTCATTTAACATAAATCATTTTCTTCTTCTGTACACATAGTTTACACATTGTTGTACTAATATACATGTTATACTACAGAGAATCACAAATATTATCCTAGGTGCCACGTAATCTTTAACAATAAGAATTATTACTCTTACTCTATTGGATAATATGTTTTAATTGGGTTACGTTGGAATTTGTTCTTTTTTTTTTAAATTAGGTTTTGAAGCTAAACTTCTTTGCTTTAAAATATGGAAGGTGATAATTGGAAATGTTGAAATTACTAGTTATATTTATACTAATGCATAATTTTGTGCATTTATGTATCTTGATCATTTTCTCTTGGTAATTTGCATAGCTATGTTTTAAGTTAATATGAAATTTTCTTTAAATTGATAAGTTTTTAAGATCAGCAAAATCTGGAATTTTTACCCAAATCATTGTTTTTGAAGGATGTTCTTTTTTTTTTTTTTTTTTTTTTTTTTTAAATTTTCTTTTTTTTTTTTTTTTTTTAAATATTAAATTTTATTTTTATATTCCCCCATACAATTGCAAACGCCCCATTCTGACCCCAATCCTTCCCCTCCTGCCCCCCACCCCCCAAAAAGTGTCTCTGGTTCATAGTTTTTTTGTTGATTTTGATTTTCACTTTCTTATATTCATTTTCCTGGTCCCTTATTTAAGTTTTCTAGATTCTGCTATGAGTGAGACCATCCGGTATTTTTCTTTTTCTTTTTGGCTTATTTCGCTGAGCATGATCCCTTCCAGCGCCATCCATGTTGCTGCAAATTGCATGTGTTTATCTTTTTTGAATGCTGAGTATATTCCATGGTATATATGTACCACATCTTGAAGGATGTTCTTTAGAAAATAGTAATTCTGTAAATATTAAATAGGCTTTACCAGAAGGGTGAAGGATAAACCTGTTGCACCAGATCAAACTTTTTTCCTTTGATCTTTTCCATCTAAATGTAACTCACAGGTGATTTTCTTTTTTGTCTCAATAGGAAGATTATTTTTTGGCAAATGTTTTAGTGCCATGGAGGTAGATGCATTAAATTCCTCACACCCTGTGTCCATACCAGTGGAGACTCCTGCTCAGATTCGGGAGATTTTTGATGAAGTTTCTTATGAAAAGGTAAAATGGACTCTATAGCTACAGTTTGGACACTAAACTTATTACTGAGTGGAGGTTATAGGTGGGGGTGTGGGTGACTTTCTCTTCTTTATGGCCAGTGAATCAAATGCCTTCTGTTCTGACCTGTGCTGAGTGGAGTTAACTCTTTTAGACTTACCTTGCAATTGGGCTTATAATCCAGTTCTTCATTTACTGTCATAAATTGAACATCCATGGTCAACAGAAGCTCTGCCTTCTGTTTATTTAACAAATAACTGTTCATCGTACATCAACTCTGAACCAGCCAAAAATTCTGCCCTTGTGTAGCTGACCTTTCAGTGCCTTATAAAATATGGTTTGTAGTATTGAACTGCGAAGTATTATCCTGCACAATGTGTTTAGTTTATTTATTTATTTATTTAATTTATTTATACAAACACTGGGGTACAGTCAGAAGCGCGGGAGGGTGAGAGAATTCACCAGAGCCAGAGCGGGGAGCAGAGCAGGCAGAAGGACCGAAGCACACTGCTGAGGGGAGCAGCGGGCGGCAGAAGAGGTCTGCGTGCCATGTGGGACCCTCCTCCGGTGGCCGGGGAGCAGCCGGGGATCGAACCGGTGCTGCAGAGGCTGCGGGCAGCTTCGCAACCCAGTGCTCAATGGCTGCGCCACCGGGGAGGCCCCTGCACAAAGTGTTTAATAGAGAATTGGGGATTGTTGCCAACTTTTAATCCTTGGGAGATTTTATATAATAATCCAGAATCCTGCCTTCTCTTACCAGCCCTGTGTTTTTCTATGTAGTGTCGTGACTTCCTGATGAGAGCAAGTTTCTGTTTTTCCACTACCCCTTCCATCACCAACCACTTCTATTTTCTTCTCACTGAGCATTTATTTACCTTTGCACTTGACTGCTCTATTTGTAGTCAGTAGCATTGTCATTTACCTTTGCACTTAACTGTAGTCATTAGCATATGTCATTTACCTTTGTACTTGACTTTTATTTGTAGTCAGTAGCACAGTGTTTCTTGCCTGCATCTTTCTATTAAAAGTGCAAGGAATAAAAAGGATAAAAGCATTTTCTTACCCTCATTTATGTAACCTGTCCATCATAGGAGGCATTTGAGCTTGTGGCCCATAATCTACAGTAATGGGAGTGGAGGGGAAATAGCTCTTCATAGGCACACAGACAATCTAGAAAATCTCCAGCTTTCCTTCTCACTGTGAATCTTGTCCTCTCGAGTCCTCAGGTCTTGAGGCTGCCTAGTTTGCACCATTCCTTACCAGCTACTCACTTTTGTTACACCTCTTGTACCTGTCATTCCCAGTACTGCCCCAGAGTGGCAGTGGGGGAAGGCCCATATGGTGGTTGAAGATCAATGTTTAATCGGTGCCATTATCTATTCAGCTGTCCACTGTGGGAGCTGGCAGGTGATGCTAACTTGCTCCTTGGGGAGACTTGACAACTGAGATAATAACTGTCGCCAGTGGAGGATTAAGAGTCCATGTTCCACCCCCTTCCAGGTGAATCCAGATTTAACCCACTTGTACTAATTAACTCATTGATCCCCCAACCTCAAAATCTTACTTTGCATGTATTTGCATTTGAAAGAATTCTTTCAAAATAATATAAGACAGTAGATTAGATTGCAACAAAAGTATAGATAGCTATAGAGTCAATTATTCATATTATTTTTTCAGGGAGCTTGTATTCTGAATATGCTAAGGGATTATCTCAGTGCTGATGCATTTAAAAGTGGCATTGTGCAGTATCTCCAGAAGTACAGCTATAAAAACACAAAAAATGAGGACCTGTGGAATAGCATGGCGAGTGTGAGTATGTTTTGTGTATCTCTACATTTGATATTTTCAAGTTTTTAATTTTTTTTTCGTATCATAGCCCTCTGGGAAGAATCATGAATGTTTTCTATGGAAACTAGTGATGTGTTTATTATCCGTTTAGATTTGCCCTTCAGATGGCACACAAGGGATGGAAGGCTTTTGCTCTAGAGGTCAACACTCATCTTCAACCTCAGTAAGTGTTTACAACTGTACGTGTTAGAGCTCGCTCTTTACTCCATATTCTTTGAGGAAAGCTCTTTGCCAAACTTCCTGACATCCTTGGTAATATCGCCCTTCCTCTAGATAAGAAAGCCTTAGACTGATCATCATCTTTCACAATTTTACTTCATTATCTACACAGGGAGTTGCGTAGCTTTCTTTGGTAACAGTCTGCAGTGATACTAATTTCTTCTGCTTCACTCTCTGTAAAGTAGTGAATTTATGACATGTTTCTGTGTAGATTAGGGGTGTATCAGTCAAGATGTATCAGTCATTTCCATAACTGTATTTGTTATTTTTTTTTTAAGATTTACTTTATGCGTATAAGAACTGGGGTGTAAGCCAGAATAACAGAGGGTGTGGGTGGATAGTGAGAGGATTCACCAGAGACAGAGTGGGGAGCAGAACAGGCAGATCTGCTGAAATACACTGCTTAGGGGAGCAGCAGGTGAAACAGGAGAGGTCTGCTGCGCCATGTGGATTATCTCCTGGCCAGGGATAGAATTTGTGCTGCAACGGCTGCTGATAGCTTGATAGCACTGAGACTTAAGCCCTGCACCACCAGGAGGCCCTCCCCCCCCCCCCGCACCCCCCACCTGCTTTTTTTTTTTTTAACAATGAAGAAACAGGCCCAATGCAACAAGGGTTCTTGAGCAGTTACTATGTGTCAGGCATGTGCTCAGCCCTGATAAGGTACTAGTGTATCATCTTTACTCTTCACACTAAATTTAAGAGGGAGGTACTGTTATCCCCATCTTTCCAGCTGGGAATATGAAATTAAAAGGCATATGGTTAGTAAATTATAGGGCAGGGATTTGAATTTAGCATTTCTCAGGTTTTTAACTGCTAAGAAACATAGAATTCACAGTATCTGAGTCACAGAACAGTCTGATTCCCTTTATCTGAACTTGTGAGTCTGGTTATTTTATTTTATTACCAGAATTTTATTCACCATGTTTTTATTTTCTTGCCTTTATTAATTTTTTTTCTTTTTTGGAAATGATTCACTGGTTTCTAGAATGTCCTATAGCATATTTTCCCTTTTATTCTTGCTTCAATATTTAAAAAAATATTTTAAAAGATTATATGCTCTTGCATTCACCACTCTTTGACTTTGGGCTGTCTCTGTAAAAGCACTCCCCTTCGCCATACATTCTTCTCTTCCTTGCTTGTCTGACAGCCAGCATAGCGAGGCATGTATTGAAAACTAGCCACTGTCTCCCTCATTCATTCATTAACATGCTTGCTTTGTGCCTGCTGCCAAGCCTGAGGTATGTCAAACAAAACCAGATATTGTACCTGCTCTCAAGATATGTACGTGCAGAGGAGGAGAATGAAGAGTCAGTATTCAGTGCTCTGATGGGGGGTGATGACAGGAAGTGGGGGAGGAAGGAGCAGGACTGGGGGCCAGAGGGGCAGATGAGAAAGAGCTTCACCGAGGAGGTTGTCAATCAGTAGCAGCTCTGTGAATCCAAGCTGGAGTTCTGCCTTTTCTTAGAGCATGGTCTAAGTGGGTCATATCTCTGCTTTTTTGTGTATAAACCAGCACTGGCGACAGGAAGGCGTTGATGTGAAAACCATGATGAACACCTGGACACTGCAGAAAGGCTTTCCCCTGATAACCATCACCATGAGAGGAAAGAATGTTCATATGAAGCAAGAGCACTACATGAAAGGGGCTGACGACGCATCAGAAACTGGGTAATGTTCTTAAGAGAAACGAATTTTGTTGCTGCTGTAACATCTGACTTGCAGGATAAAACTTTCTTTTTTTTTTTAAAGATTTATTTATTTATTTATACAAGCACTGGGTACAGTCAGAAGTGCAGGAGGGTGAGAGAATTCACCAGAGCGGGGAACAGAACAGGCAGACTGATGAAATACACTGCTGAGGGGAGCAGCGGGCATGGCAGGAGAGGTCTATCCCTCGCCAGTGGCCAGGGATTGAACCGGTGCTGCAGAGGCTGCGGGCAGCTTCGCAGCCCAGCGCTCAACCGCTGTGCCACCAGGAGAGGCCCGCAGGATAAAACTTTCTTACAATGAACCTGGGAAGTTCGCTGATGTCCATCGAGGGACTTGCCATGTCCAGCCAGGCAGCTCTTCACCCAGACCGCCACACTGACTGAAAACAGGAACTAATTTCTCACACCTGCCACTCTACGTTCATTTGTTTATGGAAGTGAGATCTTGAATAAGTAAAAACATGAAGAATGAATTACACTTCCCTCGCCCCATGTCCTGAACTCTCTGCTTAAACATAAATGATGGTTAATGCCTTTCAGCAAATATGGGGAAATGGTATTAAAACAGAGCTGTTACAGTCTCTCGTGTTAGCTAGAAAGAATTCTAGCCGAAAGTGTTCTATACTCTGGTTTTAAAAGTTTGACAGGTGTAGATGTAAATTTCAGAAGTGAAGCCATGTGGATGAACACTCTAGTTTTCAGTGGCAACAAGATTTAATTCATGCTAAGCAAGCAAAGCTTCTGAGCATTTAGCACTCACTGGGTCCCACCGACTAACCAGGCACACTTTAACCTTTGATTTTTTTTTTTTCCTGTTAAATATTCTTTTTCTCACAAAACATTGTAAAAGCAATAGCATCAGCTTTGGAAAATTAACCCAAAATAGATATTTTAAATCCTTTCTGTGGAAAAACACAAGATTAAATGTGACAATAAATGAGCTCACAGCAAGTCATACGCATAATTATAGTATTGAATCCTTCTATTGATCATGACACAAATTAACCATTTGTAGGTGTTGCTACAGGAGCATAAAAAAATCTTTTAAATAATGCCCCTACCTTTATCACTAAAATATTTCAATAGAATTTATGTATCCTATGAAGTTGACTTACATACCACCATCTTCTCAAAAGATGACTGACATTATTGTCATAACATTGGTGTGCCACACTGTATATGACTCAGAGGTATAGAATCACACCTCTTCTGATGCAGATCATGACACCACACCCACCACCAAGGCCCCCATAGTCCTGCACCATAGTCTGTGAGGCTCCTTCCATACTTTGCTCTCCCCACTGTCCTTCCCCATCTGGTAGCCTCAGTTCTACACTTGTGCTCTAGAATTTGTTATTGGTATGGTTTTATCTTTTGTATTCTCTATAATTCTACATATGAGTGAAACCATCTTTCTTCTGACTTCTTTCCCTTAGCATTATCCCCTCCAGCTTCGTCCATGTTGATTCAATTGGCAAATTTCATCTTTTTTGTTTTTGTTTTTCACATCTTAATCCACTGATCTGTTCCTGGGCACTTGAGTTGTTCCATAACTTGGCTGTTGTAAACAGCCAGTGAACATAGGCATGCATGTATCCCTTTGAAATAGTGTTTTTGCCTTCTTCAGGTAGATTCTTAGGAATGGGATTGTCTGGTAGAGCTGTTCTAATATTTTGAGAACTCTCCTTGCTGTTTTTATGAGGGCCAGATCACTCTAGATTCTTACAACAGTGCACAAAAACTCCTTTTATTCTACGCCTTTGCCAACACTTTGTTGTTTCTATTCTTTTTGATGTGGGCCATTCTCACAGGTGTGAGATATGGTATCTTCTTGTGATTTTGATTTGCATTTCTCCGATAAGTGATGATGAGCATTTGTTCATGTGCCGTGGCCATCTGAGAAGTGTCTATGTAGCTCTTCAGCCCATTATTTTCTTTATTTAATTGTATGTATTTCTTTATTTAATTTACAGATCTTAGATATCAGCCCCTTGTCAGATGTACCATATATAAGTATTTTTTCTCATTCAGTAGGGTGTATTTGTTTAAGGATCATTTCTTTCTCTTTGTTGAAACTGTCCTACTTTTCTCATTTCTCTTGTTGGAGATGATTCTACAAAGACCTCACTGAAACCAGTGTGGTGCAATTATTTGTCTGTCATCTGAGTTTTATAGTTTCAGGTCTTGCATCCAAGTCTTCAATCCATTTTGAGTTAATTTCTGTGTAAGGTGTGACAGTGGCCTAGTTTTATTCTTTTGCATGTGAATGTCCAGTTTAACCAACACCATTTGTTGAATACACTTTCTTTCTCCCAATGTATAGTTTTGACTCCGTTGTTATTGATTAACTGTCCATATTATAAGTGTGAGTTTATTTCTGGGGTTTCAGTTCTTTTTTTTTTTTATTAGATAATAAATTTTATTGTTATATTCCCCATATAATTGCAGCGCCCCCATTCTGACCCCAATCCCTCCCCTCCCGCCCCTGCCCCCCTAAAAGTGTCTGTGGTTCATAGTTTTTGTTGATTTTGATTTTCACTTTCTTATAGTTATTCATTTTCCTGGTCCCTTATTTAAGTTTCTAGATTCCTGCTATGAGTGAGACCATCCGGTATTTTTCTTTTTCTTTTTGCTTATTTCGCTGAGCATGATCCCTTCCAGCGCCATCCATGTTGCTGCAAATTGCATGTGTTTATCTTTTTGAATGCTGAGTAATATTCCATGGTATATATGTACCACATCTTCTTGATCCAGTCATCTATTTGGGGCATTTGGGTTGTTTCCAAAGCTTAGCTATTGTAAACAGTGCTGCTATAAACATAGGGGTGCAGGTGCTCTTTGGAATTGATGTTTCTGTGTCCTTTGGTAAATACCTAGGAGTGGAATTGCTGGATCATATGGAAGCTCTATGTTTAGTAGGTCCAGAAATCTCCACACAGCTTTCCACAGTGGTTGGACCAGTTTGCACTCCCACCAACAGTGCAGAAGAGTTCCTTTTTCTCCACACCCTCGCCAACATTTGTTGTTGCTAGTTTTTTAATATGTGCCATTCTCACTGGTGTAAGATGGTATCTCATGGTAGTTTTGATTTGCATTTCCCTGATGACAAGTGATGTTGAACATTTTTTCATATGCCTGTTGGCCATTTGCATTTCCTCTTCAGAGAAGTTTCTTTTTAGCTCTTCTGCCCATTTTTTGACTGGATTATTTTCTTTGTTGTTGTTGAGTCTCATCAGCTCTTTGCAGATTTTTTGATCAGTCCTTTATCATTAGTGTTGTGTGCAAAAATGTTCTCCCAGTTGGTGGGTTTTCTCTTTGTTTTTGTTATTGTCTCTTTTGCTGTGCAGAAGCTCTTTAATTTGATGTAGTCCCAGCTGTTTATCTTTGCCTTCACTATCACTGCTTTGGGTGATGTGTCTATAAAGATGTCTTTGATGTGCAAATCACGTAGTGTTTCGCCTATATTTCCTTCTATATATTTTATGGTTTCAGGTCTTATGTCTAATTCTTTAATCCATTTTGAGTTTTTTGTGTATGGTGTGAGGTAGTGGTCAAGCTTCATTCTTTTGCATGTAGCGACCCAGTTTTCCCAGCACCATTTATTGAACAAACTTTCTTTGCTCCAATGCATAGTCTTTGCTCCTTTGTCAAAGATTAGTTGACCATAAATCTGTGGGTTTATTTCTGGATTTTCTATTCGATTCCATTGGTCTGTATGTCTGTTCTTGTTCCAATACCATGCAGTTTTGATGATTATGGCTTTGTAGTATAGTTTGAAGTCTGGGAGTGTGATGCCTCCATTCCCTTCTTTTTTTTTTTCAGGAGAGCTTTGGCTATTCGGGGTTTTTGTGTGATTCCATATGAATTTCATCAATAATTGTTCTATTTCTTTGAAGAATGACATTGAAATTTTGATTGGAATAGCATTGAATCTGTATATTGCTTTTGGAAGGATGGCCATTTTAATAATGTTTATTCTTCCAATCCATGAGCAGGGATATCTCTCCATTTCTTTGTGTCTTCTTCTATTCTTTTAACAGTGTTTTATAGTTTTTCTTGTATAGGTCCTTTACCTCTTTTGTTAGATTTATTCCCAAATATTTGATTTTTTTTGTTTCAATAACGAAAGGGATGGTTTTTTTTGATTTCTTCTTCTTCAGATTTATTGTTTGTGTATAGGAAGGCTACTGACTTTTGCATGTGATTTTGTATCCTGCACTTTACTGAACTGATTGATGAGTTGAATTAGCTTTTCTGTGGAGTTTTTGGGGTTCTCTATGTATAATATCATATCGTCTGCAAATAGTGATAGTTTGACTTCTTCTTTTCCTATTTGGATTCCTTGGATGTCTTTCTCTTGTCTTATTGCCCTGGCTAGGACTTCCAGTATTATATTGAAAAGCAGTGGTGAGAGTGGACATCCTTGTCTTGTTCCAGATCTTAATGGAATTGCTTTCAGCTTTTCACCATTGAGAATGATACTGGCTGTTGGCTTGTCATAGATGGCCTTTATGATTTAAGGTATGTTCCTTGTATCCCAAGAATTTCAAGGGCTTTTATCATGAATGGGGTTTGCACTTTGTCGAAAGCTTTCTCAGCATCTATTGATATTATCATATGGTTTTTATATTTCTTTTTGTTGATGTGTTGGATAACGTTGATTGATTTTCGGATGTTAAACCATCCTTGTGCCCCTGGAATGAATCCTACTTGGTCGTGGTGAATTATCTTATGGATACATTGTTGGATTCTGATGGCTAAATTTTATTGAGGATTTTTGCATCAGTGTTCATTAGGGAGATTGGCCTGTAGTTTTCCTTTTTTTGTGTTGTCCTTGTTCGGTTTTGGTATTAGTGTAATGTTGGCTTCATAGAACGTGTTTGGTATTGTCCCTTCCTTCTCAATTTTTGGAAGAGTTTGTGAAGGATAAGCACTAATTCGTCTCTGAATGTTTGGTAGAATTCAGT